CTGCAATGTGTATTTTGGTAACCTCTTAATGAAGAGAAGCCAGGCGGGCCAGGCTGTGGCTTGCCCAAGGCCATCCACAGCCATGGTGGTCCCCATATTCAAGGTCCTTCCTTCACACAAAGGGCAGCTGGGCCATCACCGGGCATGTGATGGCAGCAGCCTAAATATATGAGTTTCTCTTCCTCTCATGGGCACCTATATGTGGGTTGACAGGTTGGGTACTAGACAACAGGATTGCTGCCCTTCACCCTGATATTCTGGTCTCCATCACCTCATCTTGCAGATGGCTTAAGAATATAAGCCAACTTTCCAGTTCTTTCTGTAGCTTCCACCAGCCCAGACAGGGCCCAGGCTCACAATGCCTACCAGATCTGAGGGATAAGCCAGAAACTCAGGATGCTCCTGGCATCTATCAGCTTTTCACAAGACCTTCCACCGCGACGCAAAGACAAGGCATCACATGCTCTGACAGTAACGGCAAATACAGATCTTTCCTATTGTTTGTGTACCACTCTTTAAGCGGTAAGTACTCCTGTTCCATTTAGATAAATAAAGGGGCACTGGATCAGAAGGAGGAAACAGTAGTTCCCTGGGCACTTTTATCTAGTAAGAAGCAGAGCTGGGAGCCATCCTGTCTGCCTCTGAAGCCCAGATATTAGGATGTCTCCTTCCTGGTAGGAAGCACGGAGGAGGAAGCTGGACCCCATGGGATCTAAAGACTTGAAGTATCTGAAGGCTCCTGTGACTACAGAAGACAGAGAAAGTGCAGTTTCAACATCAGTCCCTGCCCTCGCTCCAACCCCAAATCTCAGCTGACTGGTACCCTCTCTCCTGCCAGTCTGTGGACTGGAACACGGACCTCACGGGCCGTCTAGGGTCAAAGTTTGTGTGAGGGCAAACCGGGCCCAGAGCATAACTTGATCTGCTCAGCTTGTCGGCTGCAAACCAGGAGTCTCAGCCTGTGCAGCCCTCCCGGAGGGAAGGTGAGCCTTCCTGAGCCTCTACTGACAGCAAAGCTGCGGAGGCCCTGCCGCGTGAGACCCAGAGGCTTCCACGCGGGGCTTCTTAGCAACGCCACACCACTTGTGAGCCCACTCAGGGCTTGGTGGAGGTGGGTATGCAGAAAAGTGGGCGGAGGCTCGCAAGAGTCGAGCAAGGGCTTGGTCTGGAGAGAAGAGGACCTGGGAGGAGTTAGAATGAGGAGAGGGAGAGGAGAAAGGAAGGGAAAAGAGGCGGGGTCGAGGGTGGAGGGAACCCGCGACCGGAAAAGCGGAAAGGGAGAACCCAGGCAGGGGGAGGTCAAAAAGGGTTAACGCTGACGTCTAGGACCCTGGATGCAGAAAACGACTCCTCCCTTCAGTCCTCACACGCGCACAGTCCGGAATTCGCTGCCAAGACATTCTGCCCAAGGGCAGGTGGGTTGGAATCAGACCCTGAAGTCTCTGTACTTTCTCCCTCCCTTCCCGGAGGAGGGCGATGAGAGGGGCTGGGGGCGGGGTCGAGGAAGGGGGTTGTGCGCTCTGTGTCCCAGGGTCCCGGCTGCGCGTTCCAGCTGTGAGAACAGATGGAGGCAGCGCGGCTCACCTCGGGGGCTCCATGCCCGCTGTGTGCCAAGGTCCAGGCTGAGGAGGAGGTCTAGAGCCCCCGGCTGTCCGGTCTCCCACCAGGCTGCGGGGAACCAGCTGCCGCACCCCTCCTACCAAGTAGGGGACGAACAGGGCCTCACTCCTATAGGTCCCGGAATTGGGGGGAACAGAAAGCCGGTTCCTCCCACGACGCACCCATCCCCAAAGGCTTGTCTGGGACTCTTGCTCCCCAAGACCCCTTCTTTTGGCTTCCTGCCTGGGCGCATCTGGGAAGCGGACCCCTGCCCGGACGCGCCCCGCCCCCGGCCCCCGCCCCGACGACGTCGCATTAGCATGAGCTACGCCAGTGGCCCGGGCATCACTCGGAGGCCGAGACTCACCGCGTCATAGCCCCAAGTGGAGGGAGAAAAAAAAAAAGAGGCGGCGGAGGAAGAGGCAAGAGCGGACGCGCGGGGAGGGGAGCGCAGCGGCGGGGCTGGAAAGACGGCGGGCGGTGGCAGCATGCCCCTGGGCGGGCGCACACGGCCTCTCTGCGCAGCAGGGGCTGCTCCTACGCTCTCTGGGCACCGTGCGTCCAGTCTCCCGCCTCAGCGCCTCTGCTTGCCCGCCTCCACCGTTGCACCTGCAACAGAGGCAACTGGTCCCTGGAGCAGCTAAGAGCAGCGGCGCAGCGCGGGACAGTTCTTGCTTTTCTCTGAGCTCGGGGATATGAGCCCCACAGCCACCTGAAGCACAGGGGGCGCCACGCGGCTAGGACCGCGCCCCCGAAGTCCTGTCCCCCTAGCCTCCACACTGCGGGACGCCGGGAGCCGACTCCGGCGGAGGCATCTTCGGAAGAGCAGCGGGTGGGGGCATGGAACCCACCACGCCAACCAGTCAGGCCCGGGCGGCGGCCACCAAGCTGTCCGAAGCGGTGGGAGCCGCGCTACAAGAGCCCCAGAGGCAGCGGCGCCTGGTGCTGGTCATCGTGTGCGTTGCACTGTTACTGGACAACATGTTGTACATGGTCATCGTGCCCATTGTTCCCGACTATATCGCCCACATGCGAGGGGGCAGCGAGAGCCCTACGCTGGTCTCTGAGGTGTGGGAACCCACCCTGCCGCCACCCACTCAGGCTAATGCCAGCGCCTACTTGGCCAACACCTCGGCGTCCCCGACGGTTGCTGGGTCTGGTCGGTCAATCCTGAGGCCTCGCTACCCCACAGAAAGTGAAGATGTGAAGATAGGGGTGTTGTTTGCCTCTAAGGCCATCCTGCAGCTTCTGGTGAACCCCTTGAGCGGGCCTTTCATTGATCGCATGAGCTACGACGTGCCGCTGCTTATTGGCCTGGGCGTCATGTTCGCCTCTACGGTCATGTTTGCCTTTGCAGAGGACTATGCCACTCTCTTCGCTGCGCGCAGTCTACAAGGCCTGGGCTCAGCCTTCGCGGACACGTCTGGCATCGCCATGATCGCCGACAAGTATCCGGAGGAGCCTGAGCGCAGTCGTGCCCTGGGCGTGGCACTGGCCTTCATCAGCTTTGGAAGTCTGGTGGCGCCACCCTTTGGGGGCATCCTCTACGAGTTCGCCGGCAAACGTGTGCCCTTTCTAGTGCTCGCTGCCGTGTCCCTCTTCGACGCGCTCCTGCTGCTGGCGGTTGCTAAGCCCTTCTCGGCTGCGGCTCGGGCGCGGGCCAACCTGCCTGTGGGCACACCTATCCATCGCCTCATGCTGGACCCTTACATCGCTGTGGTAGCCGGCGCGCTCACGACCTGTAACATTCCCCTTGCGTTCCTCGAGCCCACCATAGCCACGTGGATGAAGCACACAATGGCGGCATCCGAGTGGGAGATGGGCATGGCTTGGCTGCCGGCTTTCGTGCCGCACGTGTTAGGCGTCTATCTCACTGTGCGCCTAGCGGCGCGCTATCCACACCTGCAGTGGCTGTATGGCGCTCTCGGGCTGGCGGTGATTGGAGTGAGCTCGTGCGTCGTGCCTGCCTGCCGCTCTTTCGCGCCGCTAGTGGTCTCGCTCTGCGGCCTCTGCTTCGGCATCGCGTTAGTGGACACGGCGCTGCTACCCACGCTCGCCTTCCTGGTGGACGTGCGCCACGTATCAGTCTATGGCAGCGTCTATGCTATAGCTGACATCTCCTACTCTGTGGCCTACGCGCTAGGGCCCATAGTGGCAGGCCATATCGTCCACTCCCTTGGTTTTGAGCAGCTCAGCCTTGGCATGGGCCTGGCCAACCTGCTCTACGCACCGGTCCTACTGCTCTTGCGTAACGTGGGTCTCCTTACACGCTCGCGTTCCGAACGCGATGTGCTGCTTGATGAACCCCCGCAGGGTCTGTACGATGCGGTGCGCCTGCGTGAGCGTTCGGTGCAGGGCACCGACGGCGGTGAACCTTGCAGCCCGCCTGGCCCTTTTGATGGATGCGAGGACGACTACAGCTACTACACCCGCAGCTAGCAGACCTGCTTCTCCAGGCCACCTACCCTCCCCGTTTAGGTCAAGGTGGTCATTCTGCGAGAGCACTGGCCAACTATGTCTTGGGATCCACCTCCTCCAGCAAGTACTCTAGTACCCTCCCCAGTCTTGAATTCCCTTGCTGGAGTCCCTCCTCGGTGTCCCATCTCAATCTAACCCCCCTCCCCATCACAATCTCTTATCCTTTGAGGAAATAAAGCAGGGGGGGGGAGGCATGAGAAGCTAGCTATTGGCCTCCTGGCAGAGGTGAAGAGGTGTGCGGGCGAAAACCGACCACTGACCCCGCACCCCAAAATATTCATGCAACTGTTTGTCCTTCCTGTGGATCTTTCCAGTGCCAAACTTGGTCTGCTGCACCCTGGTGCTTCCGGCCTGAATTAATAAACCATATCTGTCCGAGGCGGCTGTCTCTTTACTGATGAGGGGTGGGTGGTGTGGTACAAAACCTGAGGAGAGAGAAGGCTGGCCTGGGTTTCACGTGTTCAATCCAGGCCTGAGAAGAAATGAGAGCCCATAGGCTCCTTTGCTGCCTAGTAAAAGAAAACAAACTCAAATAGGGCTCTTCTCATAGATACCTAGGAACACACACACACACACACACACACACACACACACACACACCACTTGCCATATCCCTCCTTTCCCAGCTCAGTGCAGCACCTGGAGGTTCCACCCGAGGGAGCCTGAGAATGTGTTTGGCCTTGGAGGACGCCTGGCACCAGGAGCTCTCAGTTCCTGAGCTGGGTTTTCCTATACACTGCCATCTCATCTTGTCAAGCAGGGAGCAAGAGGGAGCTATTTTCTTCAGAGAAGGGGAGGCAGTCCCCAGTGTTCAGGGCTCCAGCCTGAGGTCTGTGTTCCTTAAGAAGCGAGGTTCTGTTATCTGAGGAATGGGAGAAGGGTTGCCCGTGAGTCTGATTTTTCTCAGTTGTGCCAGAGAAGGAAGGAATGGGGATGTGGGAACTGGTGCCAATCTCTAGCCTGCCCTGTCCGGAATTAAAGTGGCCATTCAGGGATGTCAGGGAAGTTTCCCACCCTCCATTTCCCGTGGTGGAGACCTGGATTGCGGGCAAGACACTCATTCCTGGATCCTGCTGCCTGTTCGTGGAGCCCTCTGGGTAGAGAGGCAGTTGGGTTAGGGTAAGTTGTGTGTGTACTGTTGGTGTGTGTGTGTGTGTGTGTGTGTGTGTTTCTGTCTGTCTGTCTGTCTGCCCTTGTCTATGAGTCTGCTTGTGTGATATATATATATATGAATGAGGGGGTACTTTGCCTGAAGAAGTGCGGGTGGGCCTTTGATTGAGTCCCTGCCTGTCACCAGAGTGGACCAAGTCTGTGTTCCCTTGTCTCCTCTTCCCTTCCCAAAGAGTCTACAAGAATGGGGTGGTAAAAGAAAGAAAGGGAGGTCCCAGAATGGCCATTAAACTCATTAATTATAGTATTTTAAAGGGTGCTGAAGGGTCCCAGTCTGGTCTAGCTTGTTGGGGGGGGGGGACAAATTTTCTTCTGACCCAAACTCTCCGGCAGGGTTCTACATAAGCAGCTGCACACGAGACCATGCGGATGAGGGAGCGTGGGGACTGGGGAAGGCTGGGGTGGGGTGATGGGCATCAGCAGGACAATGTTCTGTGCCCCTTTCCAGGGCCTAAACGCAATGCCAGCGCATGAACTCATCCGGGAAGCTGTCCGAGACAGGTTTTGAGGACAGAAGATGGAAATCTCAGGGCGGGGCGTGGGGTGGGGGGAGCAGAGGACAGTGAGGAGGAGAGGGAGGGACAGGGGAGGGAAAAAAGAAGGGGAGGGAGGAGGAAGCGGAGGGAGCTGAGAGAGGTGGGGCTGGTTTGCTTGCTGTCAGTCCGGAGGCTGCTGGGCAACGTCGTCGGAGGCTCTACTACAGACCTAGACTGCGGCCCCAATCTCTGGCGCTGCTGTCACCCCCTCCCCTGGTCCTTCTGGCTCACACAGCCGCCTCCTGCCCTGCTTGGTGTGGAGCAGCGCCGGTTCGGCGGGCGCAGAACAGCCCAGGAGAACAGGTGAGGAGGGCTGGGCAGCCCTGAGCTGGCGCGAAGAGCTGAGCCTCGGAGCGCTGCGGACCTAGGCACTGTCCCTCCGGCGGAGCTGTCCACGGAGGGACAGCTCCCGGGCCCAAAGACGCCGAGATTCTCAGAGTCCCCAGCGTCCCAGGCACCAGTGGTCGTCGGGGTACAACCAGGAGACTGCGGGATTCTGCTTCCTGGAAACCTAGGTTGGGAAGGGCTTGGCTATCAGGGCTCAGGGCTCTCTTAATCTTTCCCGCCCACCTACATTATTTCTTACTTCAACTAACATTTACCAAACCCAAGGTTTGTGGCTTTGGTGTCCAATACTAGGGGCCGTCGCTGTCATCCCTGGGCCCCAGTTTTCTTCAGCCACTCTTGGGAAGGTAGGGAATGCCAGCAGGGCAGGTGGTACTTCTGAAGGAATGAAAGTAGAGAGCCTGGGCAGCCAGACCAGACTGGTGTTGGACCTTCACTGCCGAGCAGAGACCTCTCCCAGTAGCCCTCACAAATCAGGTCAGCAGAAGCAGAAATGGGGAGAGTACCAAAACACAGGAAGACAAAAACATACAAACTCTCTAAGCCTGGGCAAAGGAGGAAGAAGCTGGGGGATTGGGGAAACTGGGGACACCTATCAGAATGTCAGCTGGCAGGGGTCCATTTTCCTCCTGAGATCTGGCCAGTTTCCCCCCTTCCCACTACTGAGATGGCACAAGACGAAGCATTGGCTGAATAATCTGTAGAACCTTTATCAACTTGACCTTGGCTTGGTTGACCCCTTAAAGTAACCAACAGAACACCCACATATTCATCAGCAATTTCTAGGCACAGTTGGACTCAAGGACTATTGTGTTGGCGGCGCATGTACAAGCCTGCAAGGCCTTTACACTCTCTGTGTACCGGGGCCAGGCATTTGCAACGTTTCTATCTTTGGGTCTGGTTCTTCCACCTTTCTGATCCCTGTCTCTCCAGGATGAACTGAGTCGATGCCAGCACCTGCTTGTGCTTGACTCTGAGTGAGGGCTGCTGCTGGTCTCTGCTTTAGCCTCTTGGGGGAAAATAAAGGGTAGGTTAGCAGAAATCTCCACTATGCATGTGTGCAGGTTTTGGTTTAGTGGGGCAGAGGATGGATTCCACAGCTCAAAAAAAAAATTGACCTGTGCCCTTCTTAGCCTAGTTTATTTCTACTTTACCTCCCAAATTAATCTCTTTCCCAGGTCAGGAGAGCCTAGGGGTTCACTGCCTACTGTTTGGTTTCATGTGTCATGCCCTTCCATACATATTCCCACTGTCCTCACTCTTGAAGCCTGCTGTCCAGAGACTACCCAAGTCACCACTCTGCCAGCAGACCTCAGAGTCCTCAAGCAACAAAGAATGTCACACAGAATACAGGGTCTCAGAAGACTTGAGGGCCCTCAAGCCTACACACATACATATTCATACACATGCAAGGGAGGGGGAGCTTTCTGAACTCATATCCCTCTACTCCATACCTGACCCAGGCCAGGCATCCTAGAGGGAGATCTGAACACAGCTGGTAGGGCTTTGCCCTTGAGGAACTACGGCTTTGGGTAGAAGTTGAGACCAGCACAGTGTGTATAAGGTGAATTCCAGGCAAACCAAAGCTAGTGCCCTGAGCCTGGTAGGTTGGGAGTGGGCAAGTCCAGCTCCTCCCAGGGTTACTCGGAGTGGTCAGTGAGCCTTAAGTCACAGCAGTTCCACAGAAGCAGGTTCCAGCTGGCGGCTCAAGGAGGATGCATTCTCTCTCACCTCAGGATTCAGAGAAGTCACTGTGGTCAGGGACACAGGGCTGAGGGCTGAGACGGCAGTCTCAGTGGCACTGAGTTCCCGACACACTAGTGTCAGGATCTGGCTTCCTTCTGGTGTGGTTGGACGTGTATGGGAGGTAAGGGCTTCATTCTGATCTAGGTGGCTCTCCGTGATGCCTCTTCTCCTCTGTTCCAAGGTCTACAGCTCTGCTACTCTGGAGCAAGAATCACCAAGATGCCCATCCTGGAAAAGGTCTCCCAAAAGATGGCTGCAAAGCCTTCTAGCAGCGAGGAGGAGCTGGTGAGTTCTTTCTGAGCCATGTGTCTTAACCCGTCTCTCCTCGTGCACACTCTTATTCCCAGAACAGTCTTGAGGGGAACCGGCCCTTGGATTATTCCCCAACTCTGTATTTTCCTAGGCAGAAGGCTAGAGTCCAGCCCTGCCCTGTTCTTTAGAGAGGTCTGATTGGGTCTGAAGGGTTAGTAGCCCTATTATTGGAGCTCTGGTTCCAGTAGTTCCTACAGGCCAGACTGAGCCATCTATCCTTAATATATCAATTAAGAAGGCAATATGACCAAAAGGCAGATAAAAGAGAAGAGCAATTGACACATTGGGAAGATGAACAGGTAAAGGGGTCCAGTGATTCTAAGTCTGTCTTCAAGGCATGCTCATAAACTGGAGGTTTTCGAGGAAGAACCAGCAAAGGAGCAAAAATATGTGCAATTCAACAGTCCTGATCCAGATCAAGATGTGGTCTTGTTGATCATTACCTATGATTCTGCAAGATGGTCAGAAGTTGCTTCTGTGGCCATTTGGGGGAAGCAGTTTGGTTTCCAAGTTTTCCTGGTCCAGGGGAAGCTTCCTTATTACGAGTAATTTCCCTGATTTGAAGGAGCATCTGTTCTGGAAGGCTTCTGCTGGTGCTGTTTGGGGAATGGCAAGGTAACTGGTGTTTAGAACAATGACCGGAGAGAGTTAGGCACCGTTGTAGGTTCTGGAGCATTGGAAACTCTGTGAGAGATGGTAAAGTTCTTCTTTGTTTTGCTTTTGTGAGACAGGGTTTCTCTGGGTAGCTCTAGCTGTCCTGGAACTCGCTCTGTAGACCAGGCTGTCCTCGAACTCAGAGATCCACCTGCCTCTGCCTCCCAAGTGCTGGGATTAAAAGTGTGTGTGTGTGTGTGTGTGTGCCACCATCACCTACCTACGTTAATTTCCTCTTATCTTTGTACTTTCAGCCACGCAGAGGGCTGAGTTAGGTTAGGTATTGCTGTTGCTGTTTTGTTTTTAAAGACAGATACTCCTTGAGTGGTTATCGTGCCTTCATGCAGAACCAGGCAGGAGTCTGACCCGAAGTAAATGGAACACACTCAACATGAAGGTCAAGGTGCCAGGCTTTCATCTCATTCTTAATTACCTTGTGGGCCAAGTGAGGAATCAATGCTTTGGGGCAAAAGCAGTTTCTACATGCCAGCTATAGCCTCAGGCTGCTGGGGAATGCAGGTGACTGCGCTGCTTAATCTCAAGTCTAAGGAAAGGCCCCAGCACCAGTCAGACGCCATCTCCCTCTCCCTCTCCCAGCTTCACTGTACCCCAAGTTTTACTTCAGATGGCTTCAAGTCCAGCATGCTTGCCTAGGCAAAGCTGAATCCCCTCCTCAAGCCCTGGCACATCCCAGTTCCAACTGCAGCCACTGCCTCGGCCCAGGAACATTAAGCATCATCTTTTCCACTGCCTTGAAACAACACTGCCCTTCTGGGAAAGCCTCCCTGAGAAGGCATCCTCCCTCCCGCTGCACCTAACCTTCCAGAGATAGAGCAGCGCATCTCAGTTCAAGTTCCTACATGAGCTGGCCCCTCTGCCACACCCTTCTTGCTCCTCTGCCAGCCTTATCAGAACTTTCAGTCTTCTGTCCTTGAACTTGCTCCTAACATTGCCCCAATGCTTCTGCTGCTATAGCCTGTTCCTCTTCCTCACCTGCATTGGGGTGAAGCTTCCTGGAGGACAGACTCTGTCTCTAAGACCAGTGCAGGGCCTGATTCATAGGAGTCAGCCAAGGAAATATGCAGACTGCAGGATTCTGAGTCTTCACAAGGCAGGAGGTCGGCAACAGTCATAGGAGGAACCGTGCTGGGAGCTGAAATGCCCGGAGCTGAGATGTCTAAACTGAGATTTGTGCCTGTTGCCATTCGCTGCTTCCTATTCACCCAGACTGCACAAGTGAAAGCCAGACACTCTAGTCAAGCCTGCCACCACTCTTGGCCACACGACCATGCTTCCTGGAGATATTTGCCTGCCCCATCCACACAGACCCCCATAAAGATAGGAGGAACAAGAGTGGCTGAGGGGAGGTCAACCTGGATGGCCTGAAGTGAGCTAAACTGTCCAGACCCACCCTTCTATTTGTAGTCTTCCCCGGGACAGCAGCGCCAGAAGCTGGGGCTGACATTCCACCTCCAGCCAGAGCAGTGAGTTCCAGAGACAGGATCGGACAGGTGGGGACATATTCATGCATCAGTACCTGTTCTGCCACCACCCAGGGCTGAGCCTCAGGAGAAGACAGGTGCTTTCAGCAGTCCACTGGGGTGGGCGGTGGGCAGGCAAGCCTTTGACCACCCTGGAGAAACTTGACTCACCGCCTCACAGACAAGAAACCCCTGAAGAAAGGCACCCTGCTGTGTGCCAACAATTGAAGCAATGGCATTAAAGATGGCTTCTCTGTCATCAAGGGCTGAGAGGGAAACAGGAGGGAAAAGCAGAAAGGGGAGGAGAGGAAATCCCCAGAGAAAGGAGGAGACCTGAACTGGGGCTGTAGCTTAACAGCAACGTGTTTACCTAACATGTGCAAGGCCCTGAGGAAGAGGAGGGCAGGGCAAGGAAGGAGAGGGCAGGAGGGAGGGCAGGGCAGAGAAGGGGAGAGCAGGGGAGGGGAAGGGAGGGGAGAGCAGGACAGGGCAGGGGAGGAGAGGTGAGAACACATTGACTAAAAATTAAGATGGAACCTAGGATTAGTCTCTTTACACTGTGGGTCACAGTTTTCTCATCCGTATGGACAGAAATCCTCACCCCGGCTATGTAACACATTGAAGACACAAGCACACAAGACCCCTTGGCAAATATGGTAGATTAACTGAACAGGCCATGCCCCTATGGGAGGATTCCAGTGAGGGTTCCTTTCTGTCCTCACCCCCCCCCCTGGAGCCCAGAGACCACAGATGTCTTCTTGAGATTCCGTTTGGATGGATAGAGCCAGTTAACCAACCCTGGTAGATGTTTATCGGAGAATGTTACTTTTTTTTTTTTTGTTTTTTTGCGATCCATGAGGTAGGAAGACTTACTGTTCGTATCCTATGGGTGAAAACGACCCAAGGCTTGGAGAGATCTGGGCAGGAAAGATTTCCACTGTCCCCTACCTGACTCCAGTCCCCACATGGAACCAGCCTCCTGCCTGGGTTTCACACCTGGAAACACAAAACAAGAAGCACAGGGCAGAAGTAACCACTACCCCCAGGAAGCTGAGTCCCCACCCAACGCTATCCTAACCCAGTCGGCTCTCTCTGTAAGAGAGCTTGCAGGCCCTGGAGCACAGCTGGGAAGAGTGACCAGCAGTCAGCAGTCTCGCCAATGATCTTTCATCCCAGACCCATCCTTTATGGGCTGTAAGCACGTCCACATCTGTCATCCCTTCCATCCGGTGAGAGCATCGTTTTTCATGTGAAGAGCCCTGCCCCTGCCGAGGAGGAAACTTTCCCAAGGACATACAACTGAGCAGCATCAAGGTCAGGGTGTGAACCCGGACCTGTGGATGCCAACGGCAGGGGCAGGGTGTGAGTCCAGCCCTATCATCTGCGTTTTGTGCCTCCCTGAGACCTAGGCATAGTACGGTGCCAGGGACAGCAAACAGGAGGATTGTAATTTACGTGAGTGCTGAACTAAACCCAGTAAACAGGTCCCAGAATGGGGAGTGGATAAGACAGAATGGGACCTCTCCTGGCATCAACTCAAGGACAAGTATGGACCACATTAAGGATAAGGGAGTGAGTGCCCATGAACCCTCTTTTCCAGGACCTACCCAAATTGCCAGTGCCTCCACTGCAGCAAACGCTGGCCACCTACCTGCAGTGCATGCAACACCTGGTACCCGAGGAACAGTTCAGGAAGAGCCAGGCCATCGTGAAGCGATTTGGGGCCCCTGGTGGCCTGGGTGAGACTCTGCAGGAAAAACTCTTGGAGAGGCAGAAGAAGACAGCTAACTGGGTAAGGACGGCTAGACGTCCCCCTGGAGGGGGAAGGAGGAAGATGAGATGATGTGGGTGAGGGTAATAGGTCGGTGGGACTGGGAGGAGACTGGGATAGGACGATAGATGGGAACAGACTGGTAGCAAAGGAGAGAGGCTGGCAAGATGAAAGAGAAAGGGAAAGCGTAGGACAGAGAAGGTGAAAGATGAAGACAGAGGTGGCAGATAGGGAGAGATGAGGCCCAGATCTAGGGACAGGGAAAGAGTGGGATAGAGATGATCTTAGAGGCAGAGTCGGGGAACAGGTAGGACTGAGGCACGACAAGAACAGGCAGGGCAGGGATGTTATCACTAAAGATGGGGAAAGAGGAAGAAATAAAGGAAACAATATGGGGTAGAGATAAAGGGCAGGCTTGGATGAATGGCAAGATGCAGGCTCAGCACGAGCTGGGGCTTAGTGCATTTGTGAATGAATGAATGAATGAATGAACGAATGATTGATCCACAGGGCTGGATGCTGATCCAGGGTAGTCAGAAGAGGGCTGGTGACTTTTGCCAGCATGGTGCCTGTTGTTTATGAGAGGTTTGTTGGGGATCAGATGTAACGCACCCCTCCCCTGTGCTCCTCGGCAGGTATCTGAATACTGGCTGAACGACATGTATCTCAATAACCGCCTGGCCCTGCCAGTTAACTCTAGCCCTGCTGTGATCTTTGCTCGGCAGCACTTCCAGGACACCAATGACCAGCTAAGGTGAGGCCATGGTGCTACTGGGTACACAGCAGAGGAACCCACTGCGATTTGGGGCCTTGTTTCATGCCAGGAAGGAGAGGCCAGAGCTTGTGCATTGGCTGAGCTTGCGGGGCCAAGCAGTACAAGACATTAGTTCCTGGCACCATCAGGCCAGAAGGGCGGTTAGGCATGGTGGTTCTCAGTAATAAGCTCATAGTCTTGCCCCCAAACACATTTTTTTCATGGCACTAATGGGGGTCATGGGCCCCAGGGACCCACACAGCGGTTTTGACCCAGCTGGGTCTATGAGTTGTCATTTAAAAGCAGTCCTGACTGGGATACACTGCTCCAGGTGCCCCCTGGAGCCCTGCTCCAAACAGACTCCTGGAGGAGGGACATCCCTCCCCGCCTGCACAGCTGCCATCTGCTGCAATTTCAGAGCTCAGTGAGCAGCTGGAAGGGCCCCTAGGTGCCCTGAGAATGGTGGCAGTGGTGGGTAGGGGCAGGGAAGAAGGGCCTCCCTTTTGGAATCTGTCAGAATTTCATCCTCTTAATATTTCAATGGGGCTGAACATAGGCACAGCCCAGTCTCCCACTTGCCCCCCTTCCCCCGAGAAGAAAGAATGAGAGTGGATAGAATCTGAGGGCAGTTCTCCACATTGCATCTGAGGGGCATTTCCCCCACCCCATGCAATTAAGCCAGGCCTCATCATCCGTGGATGGTTAAGATGACACTGTCCCCTGGCTCCGGTCCCTGAGGCTTTCCTCCTAGGACTCACTTTCCTTTTCATTAGCTACTAAAAGGATCCAAATTGCAGGCTTGCCCAGGAGACTGCATTTCCCAGAAGATCCAGTCGCACAGGCTGGCCTTGCCCAGGGGAACCCCACCCCTCACCTTCTCTTTCCTACCACTCCTTTGGGCACCTCTTCCTCCTCAAGGTGATTCTGGTTTCCTCTCCCCAACCCCCAGAGCGAAGCCATTCCCAGTCCTCACCGAAGGACCATTTTTAATCCAAGACTGTGGTGGGATTGACAGCACTGGGGGGAAGGGAGGCGGGACCCACATCCCATTAGTGCACACGGGGCCGGCCTGGCGCATGGCAGGCGATAGATGAGGGAGTTTGAAGCAGAGGGAGGGGCAGGGAGAGCACTGGAGGAGAAAGGAAGGGAGGAGGAAGTTAGGAAGGAGGAAGGAAAAGTGAGAGAGAGGAGGGGGTGGGGGGCAGGGAGTGTGTGATGGGCTCACAGGACTTCTAGGTCTCTCCTTGTCCCTGCAGGTTTGCAGCCAACCTCATCTCTGGTGTGCTCAGCTACAAGGCTCTGCTGGACAGGTAGGCCGGGTGCCCAGCCTGGGAGGGGGAGGGCCCCGCTTGGCGGTCTCCTCCCACATCTGTCTTCCTGCTGAGAGATATGCAGGGAGCTATAGAGAGCAGGGAGCTGGTCTTTTATCAGGCTGTGTGGTGTCCCTTGCCCACTGCCCAGCATCAGAATAGCCCGAGCCCAGCCCATCTGGCCATCAAGCATTCTTTTTTCCTTGAGCAGGCGCTGCCTTCCTCTGACCTTTGAAGTTGTTCTTCTTTCTGCCTGTGCCGTGAATTAGACACTTTGGGTCTGGAGCTCCCAGGAAGGGTGGAGAAGGAAGCAGTGTGGGAGGAGGTGGTGATAAGGGAAACGATGCCAACAGGATGATAGTCTCCCTGCTTCGAGCCTTAGTGTCCACATGCTCCCCAACTTAGTGAACACAGGCTGCTCCAATAGGTGGTTGGAGCTGCTCAGGCAGTAAGTTCTCCATTCTAGAAGGAAGGTCCCTCTCCTAGTCAATCCCAGGGCCCTAAAGACACTGGGAGAGCAAAGAACCACAGGGGCTAGAAGAAGGAGGGGTCGAGAGCAATGTCCTATGCATAGACAAGGAAGGAAGCTCAGAGGAGTTTCACAACTTATCCATGGCCACACAGCTAAGAAGAAGAAGGGCAAGGAGGGCACAAGGGTAACCTTCACTCTGTTCTGTGTGGATCCTGGTCAGTGTTTACCCATCCTTGGGGCAGAAGCTAAGACACACGTTCCCTCTGGGGAAGAGGGGAAGAGAGGTGAGGTTCTAGCCCCGGGGTGGGCACACTTGTATCTGAATTGTTTCAGACAGTGGTAGGAGCGTTGACTTGGGGCCAATCTGACAGCTCTCTATCCATACTGGGCTGCCCTTTTCTGCCGTATTTTTGGAGCGCCTTCTAGAATGCATTCTTCATTCACATGCCATCTCTGTCTTCAGAGAGCTTGCCCCCTTCAGCACCCTTACTGCAGAGCAGAGGAGAGAAGATTCCCACCCTGGCAGCAGAGCCCAGGGACCATTGAGCCATCCATCATAGCAGGCTTGACTCCCAACTCTCACACGAGTATGCAGATATGTGTGTGTGTGTGTGTTTATGTGTGTGTATGTGTGTGTGTGTGTGTGAGAGAGAGAGAGAGAGAGAGAGAGAGAACACATTACATGCATACACACAGACATCTGTTTCCATCCAAGCTCACATAAAGGTTCCTGTGTCCTGTACTTGCAAATCCCATAAAACTGGAACATTTGGAAGAGTACCTGGCTAGGACACTTCGGTCATTTACTTACTATAGTGTGTTGATGGGGGAAGGTGATCGGAAATTAGGCCTCTTACCTGCTCCCAACAGGAGGCATCCCCACTGGGGCATCTCCTGGTCATTACAAAGGGGCCCAGTGAGCTCTGTTTGCTTCTTCCATGTGCACTCAACCCTCCCCCATCCTGCTTTCTCAGTACAGGCAGTAGTACACCTGGACTGGCAGATCCACGAGTCTCTTGTGGCCACTCTTCCTCCCCGCCCCACCCCCCCCCCCCCTCCCGTGACATCCATGGTGCTCAGAAGTGGCTACCACCTACCCCAGCTGGCTTCCAGACATCTTTCCTAGCTGGCCCACATGGCTTCCCCATCTTGACTACAGCCTTCTTCCTGGTGCTTCTGGGGACAGACTTGGTCCTCTCCCTATAGAAGTTAGGCCGTTAAGAATAACAAAACAGGACAGGACATGCTGGGAATACAGCTCAATGGTAGAGCACTAGAGCGCTTTCCTCGCATGGGTGAGGCCCTGGGTTTAGTCCCCGATACTGACAAAACCAAACCAAACCACATGAACACACACACACAAAAGTCAGAGCTGGGAGTGCTGTGTTTTCATGATGGTGTGTGTGCTTAGCATGGGTGAGGCCCTAGCTTCAACCCTTAGCCCCAAAAGAAAGAAAAGCAAACGGAATTCAAATCACGTTCCTGCATGTCGAAGCCCCAGGGCCTTTTTTAATGTCCCAAACATAAGCTGCCAACCCCTACCTGGTGGCCCTGCTCATTTTTGTAGCCTTTCCTTCACTATTCACTTGGTGGTAACCCTGCCGGCTTACTTTCTGCCTTCCTCTGGCCCACTTGTCAGTCTCAAACTATCTCTGGAGAAGGGTCTTGATTTTCAAATTTTGTAAAATACAACCAAAAAGTAGTCACTAGATGAGGTTTATGAAGGTGTAAAATGTAAGACCGCATCTTTTAGTATTGAATTCAATCAGCGTAAAATCCTGAGCATTGCTACAGGTGCTTTGGGATCCTGGTATTCATCTTACTACAGGTCAGTCGTGACATTTCCATGGAACATCCTCGCTTTGTGTGGTAGTGCTGTGGGCTCAGCACAGTCAAGCAGGCCTTCAGGAAACTTCCCCCTAGCCCTGGACTCCTACCCGAACCTATAGTGAATCATTTCTCATTCAACCCACAAAAGACAGATAGATGGTGGATTAGTGAATGGATGGGTGGATGGATGGATGGATGGATATATAATATCCATTTGTAATAAATGGATGTATACATGTGTGTTAATGTGTAAATGAATAGACATATGTGTTAATGCCATGGTTCTAAACCTTCCTTATGCTGCAACCCCGTTTCTTATGCTATATTGGTCCCCCAACCATAAAATTATTTTCATTGTTACTTTATAACAGTAATTTTGTTACTGTTATGAATCATAATGTAAATATCTGTGTTTTCTGGTGGTCTTAGGTGACCCCTGTAGAAGGGCTGTTTGACAGCCGCCCCCCAATGGGTTTTGACCCACAGGTTGAGAACCACTGGGTTAATGCATGACAGAGGTATAAGAATGGGTGCATTGACTGTAGATGGCTGGATGACCAGATAGCACATGGATAAGCATATGATGGGTGGATGTTAGGTACATGGATATACCAGGCTTTCTCTTTTGGCCACCAACCAGCTCCCAAATCATGACAGAGAGACTTAATAGTTTTGAATTAAGTTTTGAATGCTCAGTCTTACTTAGGCTAGTTTCTGGCTAGCTCTTTTAACGTAAATTAACCTGTTTCTCTTTATCTACCTTTTGCCTCAGGGCTTTTTATTTTTCTTTCCTTCTGTATATATTACCTTCACTGCTTCTCATGCCTGCTGGTTGGAAGCTGCTTGGCTTAACCCTGGGCATCTCCCTCATTCTTTCCTCCTCCTTCTCTCATTCTTCCCTCAAGCCTGGATTTTCCTTCCTATTTATTATCTCTGCCTGGAAGTCCTGCCTATCCCTCTCCTGCCTAGCTATTGGCCATTCAGCTCCTTTTAAAACCAATCAGGTGCCTTAGCAAGGGGAAACAAATGCAACACATCTTTATAATTAAACAAATGCAGCATAAACAAGTGTAACACTTCTTTGCCTAGTTAAAATAATATTCCACAGCAGATGTATGGATGTATGTATAAATGATGGTTGTGGTTGGATGGTGGATGTATATATGGATAGATAGGTGCATGGTGGGTGTGTGAGTGGTTGAATGGTAGATGGAAAAATGTATGATAGACGGATGGATGGGCAGGTGGATGGATGGATAGATGGATGGAAGGGTAATGGTGGTAGTGAATGAATGATAGATGGATGAGTATTTGGAGAGATGGATACATGGATGAATTGATAGATTTGGTAGATAAATAGGCAAATGGGTAGATGGATGATTTAGCTATGCATAATGTTGGATGGATGGATGGATGGATGGATGGATGGATGGATGGATGGATAGGTGGATGGATGGATGGATGGATAGGTGGATGGATAGATGGATGGATGGATGGATGGATGGATGAATAGGTGGATGGGTGGATGGATGGATGGATGGATTGAAGGAGGAGTTTTCTAAAAAGACAATGGAGCACAAGGGTAGGGAGAAAGGTGTGCCGAGAAAAGATTAGTGTAAACAAAGGCCTGGGGGTTGGTTAAAAAGGCAAAAATTACCCATATATTGCTTTGAGAATGGGATGAGGGTGGAGCTGTGGAGATCTGGGGAAATGGAACATTCTATTACTTCACAAGCTAAAGAAGAGCTCTGTCATAGTGCAGGCGCATGTTTGGTGCACCTCTAGCCCAGTCATCAGAAAGCATGGGGTAGCAGCCCAGGGGTAGCAAATTTGCTTAGTATGCACACAGCCCTGGGTTTGATGCAAAAGCAATAGAGCCCATCCCAGCGCCTTCTCTCCTCCATCCTCTCACACCTGCCTGCCTCCCTCTCTGTGCTCTCCCCTTCCAGCCACTCCCTCCCTACGGACTCGGCCAAGGGCCAACTCTCAGGGCAGCCCCTCTGTATGAAGCAGTACTACAGGCTCTTCTCCTCTTACCGGCTTCCTGGCCATACCCAGGACACACTGGTGGCCCAGAAGAGCAGCGTCATGCCTGAGCCTGAGCACGTCATTGTGGCCTGCCGCAACCAGGTAAGTGGCCCATTGTCACGGGCTCTCAGACTCTGAGAGGGTGGGGAGCAGATAGTGGCACACGCAGGAGGCATACAGTGCCCATCCATTCCCACTCCTTCACAAGTGCACAGGCTGCTTCCCTGAGTCATCCACTGAGCTTGGGGCATGGTACCCCCCAGGTAGGACTCCCTACTCTGTTGATCCACTTCTCTCTGGCAACTGTATTTTAAGCATGAAAAGAATTTTCAGTTAGGGAATGCCCCCCTGGGTTCTTATCCCTGAGAAACCGTCAGGCTGAAGACCCATCTAGTGGGCCTTCATCTCCACAGCTATTCATTTCCATAGAGTCCCCGTCCTTCCTGGAGACCAGATGGATGGACAGAGTATGAACTAACAGAAGAGACCTCCATGTGTAAGACTGCGGGTCCAGAACTTACATTTATTAGCTTCATTTAATTATTCACCACTGTAGAATTATCCTCACGCTGTAGAGGAGGCCTTTGAGTCTGCATTGACAGGTGAGAAGATGAGGTTTAGGGAGGCTGATGGTGTGTGTAAGAGGAAGAAGGATGTCAAGTCCTACCAGCTGCCCAAGACCAGGCTCTATAGCCTAAAGTACAGGATTTCAGACACAGTTCCACAGGGCTGGTAAGGGTCCCCATGCAAGGGAACAAGCTGAGCATGAAGGCTACTGACCCTGTCACAGTGCCCAGCACACTGTCTATCCTGTATGCTGATGGTTCACAAAATATTTTTTGTGACAAAAAGTAGGTAGAGTTCGGGGGGGGGGGGGATGTCTTTCTGCCTTTTTATATTGAAAGTCTAAGTTTGGCAGCCATCCCTGCCTCCCTATCCACCCTCTCAACTTATTGTGTAATGGTTTCTTCCTGGGCTCCTTTCAGTAAATTGTGAGCTTGGGGAAAGTTTATTATCTGAGCGTAGCTGTGACCACTGTTTGAGGGCTTCAAAGTTAGCAGGATGCTTCCCAGTCACGTGACACTCTGAGCAGCCAGTCATAAAGTGAAAGCCTTTCTTCATCTTCATTCAAAGAAAGTCAAACCAAGCATTTCTTAGCCTCCATACGGCACGTTATTCAAGCCTTCTGGAAACAACCATAGTCCAGACTTCATGGATCTTCCTGAGGGTGGCGGATGGGGCGATTACTCGTGTCCATATGCTGGAAAGGAGGCAGCAGTCTGTGTCAAGAATGATTCTGTTTTACCAAGTCCACGCAAGACCCTGGCTTTCAAAGCTACAGCATCTCAGCATCACAGGGCATACATGCCAAGCTCATGCATACACAGACGGCGTGTGCACAGGTATACCTAGTGCTTTGTGCATTGGTTTTCTATTTTAATATTTGTCTACAACTGTTGGTTTGTTGTTGGTGTTGTTAGTGCTGTTTAGATCTGTACCCAAATCTCTGCCTGTAGCTGTTTGTTCTCGTTCATTGTGCAATGCATTTTACTTAGCCAGTCTACTCCAAAAGAACACCCAGGCTCTTCCTATTGTTTTGCCAATACAAAAGTCTGATTCACACACACTATCTCCCATTCTTCCGGTACACATGAATGTGCTTCCCTAAGCCCTAGGCTAAACTCTGCATACACGAGTGCAGCTGTTGAGTCAGAGACAAGCACTTTTAGTTTTGATTGACAATGACGCAACCCTCCCACAGTGGTTGTACCAATTTATACTTGACTCTCTGCAAACACGATGATTTTGCATGTGCTAGAAACCAAAAAAAAAAAAGAAAAGAAAGAAAAAAAGAAAAAGAAAGGGAAGGGAAGGGAAGGGAAGAGAAGAGAAGAGAAGAGAAGAGAAGAGAAGAGAAGAGAAGAGAAAGAAAAGAAAAGAGAATCTTTCTTGTAGCTAGGTCTAATCAGGTCTGTGTTAGGGAGAGCTTGGAGTCAAGTACAGTCAACGTATTTGGGTGCTCTCCAAAATAAGACAACTCAGAAATATTAAACACCTTGGGAACCTTGAGCCTGAGCTCCATGTAGGTCTGGAGCCTTGGGCTGGCTGCCACTAGTGATGTGTTTGACCTGTTTCCCCTACAGTTCTTTGTCTTGGATGTTGTCATTAATTTCCGCCGTCTCAGTGAGGGTGATCTGTTCACTCAGTTGAGAAAGATAGTCAAAATGGCGTCCAACGAGGATGAACGCTTGCCTCCAATCGGCCTGCTGACTTCAGACGGGAGGAGCGAGTGGGCCAAGGCCAGGATGGTCCTCCTAAAAGGTTAGCTGCAGCACCCAGCCCATCCTCCATCTCATCCTCCTGCCCATCAGCTTTTCCTCCTCCAGCGTTAAGCACACGATCTTGTCTCCATCAGCCATAGCAGGGAGCTAAGGACTGTCTCCAGCTCAGGATGAGACAGTGGGGAGATCCCTTGAAACAGAAGGGCCCTGTTATGCCTTTGCAGTCTATATGATGATACCCTAGCTCTCTAGCTTTCTTGATGAGAGAAAGGAGCCCTAGAATTGTGGGTCATCTGGGAATAGCAAGTTCTGATGACAGTCAGCAGTTATGTCTTACTGGTGGGCTGTGTAATGTTCATTTGGAGACTGGAGTCCCTGGAAGAGAAGACAGATGGGAATCTGGTGTAGGGCCTCCCTCTGGAAGTATAGCTGGGCTCCTTCTTCATCTGGTTTCTTGGTCATACGACTTTTCATCTTCAACCTGATGCATGTTCCTCTGGCTGTTCTTATGATGCTTCTAAACAACCCTGTTAGAAAACTAGTTACACCCCCCCCCCATGTGTGTGTGTGTGTTCATGTGTGTGCAGGTGCACATGTGTGCATGTCAGAGAACAACTTTAGCTGTCATTCATCAGGTGCCCCCTACAACACACACACACACACACACACACACACACACACACACACACACACACACTTTTCTGAAACATGACCTCTCTCTGTCCTGGAATTCAGAAAGGAAGCAAGACTGGCTGGCCAGAAAACCCTAGAGATCCATCTGCCTCTGTCTCTCCCCACGCTGAGATTACAAGTGTGTTATATTATGCCCAGTGTAGTTTTTGTTTTAACTTTACATGGTTTCAGTGGAACCAAACTGGTCCTTTGTGCTTGCAAAGCAACCATTTTTATCAATGTTTTATCAATTTTTATCAACTGTCTCTCTACTCCCAGTTTTAAGTTTCTAATCATCTTCTAGAAACTACTTTTGGAACCAAAGCCAGCCTTCATTGGAGAAATGAATGGCTTCCTTTCTTGCCTCTGTTGGATGTCTTGTAGTGAGAAGCCAGACTTTTGGGTGTCTTCACCCACTGCTAGGGATTACAAAGGACCAGTCAATAATTCAGCCTGTGCTTGTATAACTGAGGAGCCTCTCACACACCTGGGGAGTGAGAGTCAGAAAGGACAAAGCCTCTGCCCCCATACAGCCCAGGGATAGAAGAAGGCATGAAGAGGAAGTTCACGTACACAAGAACGCTATCTTTACCCATATGAAGAACAGGGAGAGCAGGTCCCACATGAATGCCCCAGGGCTTTGGAGAATACAAGAAACACTTCCAAATAGGACTTGAAAGGTCTTGCTGGGAAACTATGAGTGAAGGAGGCAGGTGGGACAGAGGATGTCGCTTAGGCAGATAGATTAGTGTGGACAAAGTCAGTCACACTGTAGGGACACATTGCCCTGGACTCACAAGAAGAGAAACAGGTGTCTGCGCTGGTCAGGTGGACGGGGGTCTGGCTTCCAGGTGATAAGTGTTTGCGTTTTCTAGTTCTTCTTTCTAGAAAGTTCTTCCTCCAGATCTGGTAGGCTCCTTGTACCGTGGCAAGTTCAACTGGTGTCAAAGCTGCAGGCCTCCCTAAGCTTTCTTCATTACTGTCAGCCACATGTGTGGGCATATGGGCACATGAGTGCAGGTGTCCATAGAGATGTGAAGGTACTAGAACCCTGGAGGTGGTGTTATGGGCAGTTTTGACCCACCATACATGGGTGGGTCCCGGACCAAACTCAAGTCCTCTGAAAGAGCTGTAAGTGCTCTTAACCCCTAAACCATTCCCGCAATCCTTTTGACCTATTTTCTTATCTTGAATGACTTGCCAAGCTGAAGGAAGCTCTGCTCTTGTCTGGTCAGTGCTCTGCTTCCCTGCCACCATCTATAAGGCCTGGTAGGACAGGGACCTCATGGTTTAACTTCCTTATCTACAAGGCCAACCACAGAAGCAGTGCGATTACACACTTTAAATAAAACAACAAAGGCCTTCTAAGGGTACTGGGCCCAGACATATTTATCACTTACCAATTAATTATTGTTTCATCCAAATATCGAGCACCTGCTGGATATCTGGTCCTAAATAGAGGGCTACAGAAAGGTGTGCCCCAAACCCATTTTCACGGACATGACTGCCACGTTGGGGGATTAATAACTTAGAATTTGAAAGTAGTTAATTCCCTCGGGAGACTGTGGTGAAATCACATCCTACTCTTTTTCCCTCTGGGGATGGAGACAGGCATCAAAATAATCACCTCTGCTGCCCAGATAGTTCCCACTTTATTAGACGGCCAGGCCCAGGATGACTGAACGGGATTGCCTTAAGGTCTGAGTGCTTGGGCAGCACTAATCAGAATTAATTTGTTAATGGCACTTGATCTGGCTTTCTGAATGGAAGTGTTGTTTTTAAAGGAAGTTCTGCAAAAAGGGATCACACACACACACACACACACACACACACACACACACCTCCCCTTGGGCAAATTAATTAATCCAATTAGCGCCACTGGCAGTGTCCTCGGCACAGCAGGAAACCAATTCCTCCCAGAATGGCACCCTCTTCCCCAGACCACCACAGAAGGGAAACAGGGAAGCCATTCCAGAAATTATATCTGTTTCCAGGCAGCGTGGGCAAGGGGTGAGAGTGGGGTGGAAAGCTTTGGGGAGTCTAGACAGGTCACAAGTCCTGTCAGGAAGGAAAGGGATGAAAGGGGAGAGCCCTGAATTTCTTATTTGAACCACCGAGTGGACACTGGGATCATTCACTGAGCTGAGAAGATCCTGTCTAAGCATACTTGATTTGAGGCACCCTGAGCCATGTAAGTAGAGGTGTCACATTAGATATATGTGTCTGCAGCTCCAGGAAGGAGAGAGAGAGAGAGAGAGAGAGAGAGAGAGAGAGAGAGAGAGAGAGAAACAGTTGTAAATTTGAGAGGCATCAGAACCTAAGTGATATTTAAAGTCATGGGGCTGGATGAGATCATCCAGAAGCAGAACAGGGTCTCAGGGGGTCAAGTCGATAAAGGCAAAAGGAGCAAGAAACAGCCTGGCCAGCACAGGAAAACCAGGAGCCGAGTCAAAGATTGCAAGGGGAGGAGGCGAGAGCGTTCAGTCACATGGAAGGCTGTTGAGAGCTTAAGAAAGGAGCTTTTCAACCTTGACTTTGTATTGTCCGTGAGTTTGACGAGGCCATGATGAGAGGGTAGAAATTACCAGTACATATGTGGGTAGAAGCAGCAGCAGGGGATTGTTGATAAGTGGTCGGTGACCAAACCCAGCATGTGTGGGTGACTGTTCAGAAACTCGGAAATGAAAAAAAAAAAAAAGCAGAATAGTGGAACATTTCCAGAAGAGGGTAAGGGCCAGGGAAGCAGTATTAGTAGGAAAGACAAGTGCATAGCTGTGGGCAGGCAAGTGCCTTGAAGGAACGGGGTAAAGAACATTGACGGTGAGGAGAGGGATCAAGGGCATGGAATGTTCACAAGTGAAAGCAGGAGATGGTAAAAGACCTTTGTTAGGTCCGAGACCCATCCCCAAGGGTCCACGACTGGCATGGTGAAGGGTAAGGAGGCTCCTGGGGGTGGCTCCCGGTCAGGATGGGCAGAACCGTAGTGTGAGTTAGAGATGAGGGTGGGGTTCTTTGGAGAGATAAGTAAATAGCCTCTTGGGAAATGGGAAAGGGACTTCCTCTGGATGCAAAGATTTCTGGAATGTTCGGGGCCCACACAAGGGGGTTTGGGAACCCTCAGTCTTAGAAAAAGCTACTTAACATTATTACAAGAGTCACGCACTCACACGCACGCATGCACACACAGTTCAGCTTCTCAGATTTGGGAAAGGTGGGTGCCTGTAGTCTGGAGACAGGTAGGGCAAGCAGAGGCTATGACGCTGGAATCTGAGTTGAGTAAGTGCTACAATGGCAAGCTCAGGCTGCCATGGCCAAGTGTCACAGACTCTGGTTAACAAGAGAACAGACTGTCCACAGTTTAGGAGGCTGAAAGTCCACCGTCAGGAGATCCACAGGGCTGTTTTCTCCTGAGGCATCCCTTTGTGCCTCGCGAGGGACAGCTCCACATGGTCATTCTTCTGCGTGGATCTGTGACCTAGCCTCCCTCTTCCGTTCAATTAGGATCCATGCTGATGAGACCTCATTTACTTCATTAGCTCTTTCAAGAGGAGATGCTTCTAATAGAGACAGGTTCCCCAATGGGTGCTGTGTTACTCTGTCAGAGACAAGTGGGTCCAGGAAGAGAGAAGAGACTGGTTCATCCAGACGGATGCTCAGGTCGCGGAGAATGAGGGTGGAGAAGGTGATACAGGAGCCCAGACGCTCATGATAAGAGGTTGGAGAGAGATTGTCATGGTGTATTGACAAGCAGACAATGCCTCGAGAAAGAGTAAAAATAACTCTAGGCTCTAGGTCCAGATGGAAGGGGATGAGGGGCAGGGGTTGCTGAGAAGGCTCCTACCCGACTTGGCCCTGGATACATGTGTGTGAAGGAAAACAGCAGCGTGCTATGAGGCACACCGGGGTGGGAGCCCTTGGAAGCATCAGGCTCCTGTTGAAGCAAGTGAATAGGACTGCATAGCTGGGTTAGCCATGCTGAGAACTGGCCCAGGGCAAGGAGCAGTATGCATCGTTCGGGAAGTAACAAAGGGCAGAACACTATGACCAAGATACCGGCTAAAGTAACTCAGTGTCATTATTGAGCCGTTTCCAGACATCATAGACCCCAACTGTCCCCTGAAGCCTAAGAGTCCCGCCTCCCTCTCATGTGTTGGCACAGGGCCAGAGAGGTGCTGTCCAGCAGATTGACTGGAACATTCCACTTCTCCCCCTGGAAGAAGGGTTGACCATGGACACTGCTCATAGGAAAGGTGCCCTATGGTCGAAATGAGCCCTCCTCCAGCCAGCAGAGGGTCAGGGGGCAGGGACTTGGACACTTGAGCCCTTTCTCCTTCTAGACCATGTCACAGATCCTCTACATGGCTCTCA